GTTTTTGAAGTGTAATAGTATAGCTCTGTAATAGGTAGATCGCAGTATTATTTGACTGTCATCATTGATTATCTAAACTAAACTGGTTCTTTTCTTTAAAATGCCCAACGGCACCGTCGAAAACTGTACATGTACAAGATGAGTTATTTAATTACGATCGATGCGCTCGCTACTATAGGTGCATTTTGCACCATAGCAAACTGTATTAATTTTTGACTGCATTAATAATAATCAGGATAATCTTCTTTAATTACTATTATCACTTGATACGTACATTATAATGCGATACGTAAGTATGCAAACCGGTTTAATACATATACGTGTATATGTACGGCGAATTCACTTTATGCTCAATTGTTTGTGCTTATGCTATTCCGTACTACGGTAGTGTAGTCTGGGTACGTCCGCTTCCACTAAAAATCTCCTTTACCTTTCTCAAAAATTGTACAAGTCACTTCGAGACACTGTATGCTATCGTCGAATACTATAATTTACTACCAATCCTTTAATCCCATAGTTATTAAGATTTACATACAGAAATAGTATCGATACTGTATCCAACCTTTATAACATTAAGGCAGTGGTGGTACCGCAAATTTCAGTGATAGAGTAGTTAACGTATTGCTATTTTACTATTACATTTCATATTTCAGAGCCACTCCATTATACTATACTATGTGCAAGGATTAGAGCTATTTGACACATGACGGGATTACATAGTGCATATTACTAACTTTTTGATATTTATTAATAACATGTAAAAGCTGAGAATGTACTGATTAAAGTTGCACTACATCATTTTTGTATTCTACAAGGCCTGAGAGACTAAGATACAATATATCCGTCCTCTGAAGGTGTAAAAATGCACGCAAAAATTAATTAATAAAATAGTGGGTTGGCTTATAAATATTTCAACTGTAACAGCTATACAGCAGAAAGACATAAACAGTTTGTTAGCAGCAACAAATAAGCGGCTGTGCGGTTTTAGTTCGCATACTATAGTAATAAACATTGATTATGACCGTGTTCACACCTTCACCTATTTTGCAGCCTAAGTGCATAAATTGATTTCATTATTTTGGTAAGCTGTAAGGCAGTTTTAATTGGGTCCATCAATTTTTTATTTAAATTCTATAATTATCAATAAAACTTTGTTACATATGGCTAACTTTTCGTAAATGGTTGGGCTTAAACTTTAATCCACAGTATGTTATTCCAGATAAGACATAATCAAAGTAATTTTATTTATTAATTATTGATACCATGAATCAATAATAAATGACTTGTAGTAAATTATCCAATAACAGACATCTCTATTTCGCGTAAGCAATGTAACAGGACATAGTAAATTACTTCGAGATTGATAACATGCTTTACTTCTACCCTACATATTACAGGAAGAGAAAGATAATGTTAAATTTTTACGTTTTTAATTGCTGATTATTCAGTAACTAATACGAGAGAATTGTTAGGTACACCCATGACCTCGGAGATAGGTCAATTCCTAATCACAAAGGGGATGCATTTATTAGAAAAAGAGCTGACGTCATACGTAAAATACTTGTTTATTAATTTTTATTGATACTGAATATTGAAATTTTTTATAATATGATATAAAAAATGAGTAATTGTAGCAATTAGCACAAGTCTTCTGGAACTGTTTTTCTTGTACAAAATTGCTATATACAGGTATCAGCACGAGGTAAGCTATTACGCTTAGATATTTGAGATAATACAAAGGTCCTTTATTAAAATAGGACATACATAATCCTACCATTATCATTACAAGTATCATTAGTGGCGACCAGTAAGAATCAAATGGTAATTATCTAGCAATAGGTGAAACTTTCTAGACTCAATTTACGAGATGTTAAAAGCAACAGTAATAAAATTCAATTCAATATCAGTAGCTCCAACAGAAACCAATGATGCAGCAATGCAGTCTATATGCTTGCCTACTCAAATATAGTAAGCGAGCTGAGAAATACACCAACCAAATTAGGATATCTAGAAAGTGATATATTAGATGCCGTAGCATCTTAACGGTACCTTCAAGAGATTATAAGATCATAAGGCGATTTTAATATCTTAAAATCGATAAACTGGACATCAAATTATTCTATCGTGTTAAATGCGTCTTGATGGCTTTGTCTTGGTAGTTATTTTACAAAATTGTGAGTTATTACTCGTAATTAGAGTTAGATACCACCAAATAAGCTGTTCAGATACAGTAAATCGTTAATTAGTGTATTGTAGGGATGCAGAACTGCAAAAAATTTTAGATTCAATAATGAAGATTTTAATATATCTCTTGACGCTAGCAATAGAAAATTGTCAGTGTTGGGCTCGATGTTTACAAACGAACAGCAGATAGCTACTAATAAAGTCATGTTAATAGCAAAAATACTACTTTTCTCTATGTGTAGACGTAAGCTTTTGATATACATATTTTCACACTTTGAAACCTTTCAATCTTTAATTCTATCACAACAATAAAGTTTAGATGTTAGCTGAATGCTCTAGCTAATCTATTGTGTATTATGACTTTGTTATAGCAATATAAATTATACATATAAAATGTGATTAACTGATAAAAATGCGTGAATATAACTTTATGTCCACAATGCAGTGTTGCTATGTTGATAATGAAGCTGTCTATTCTGTGAAGATATAGACGTATGATACCGGCTATCCAAGCCAGAAAATTTAGATCATTCACTTATGAATATAAAGTTAAACTTATAAAAAAAACTCTTTTAATAAAATACCGTAACTAAAGCTAACATAGACTAAATTAATCAACCAACATTAAGTTAAACTATTTCTTTTGCTTAGCCACACTAATTTATTTTTAAATTTTATAACATTTTGTGTAATTACACATTATTCTATTTTGGTTCAGATATGTAACGCTAATTTACTCTTGTAACATGCAATATTTGTGCGATCGTATTCTGATTAGGTAAATTTTATGGTCATATTTTAATAAGTTTATTTTAAGAGAATAATATTTAGTATTTAAGTGATTCGTTGAAATTGGTGATATGCTATACATACATTTATTTATGAAGTAAATAAATAATGACTGAAGAATAGGTTACTGAGACAAATTTTAAATAAAAGTCTAAAATTAGTAGTTTTATGCATACATAGCGTGCTTACTATTGTACATTCAAAAGTATTAATTATTAAAGCGACTTGCCTTAAAATATTGAAATGAACCGGCAAAGATATATCAAAGGATTAGTCAATGAATTAAACTATTTCATATTAATAATTAAGTAGATGTTGAAATTATACACTAATCATATCTCAACAATTACATAAATGATCGTTAGTAAAACACTAATATAGTAAAATTACCTATTCAGTAACCTTAATGAAATTAGTCTGAGAAGGGCACAATATTACTACTATTTATGATAAAAGCATCTCCCTGTGAAGGTTGATCCAAAAATAACTTTAGATCATGACGGTTGCAAAAAAATTGCACACTTTATTCAGTATAGAGCCCACTGACCATGAGTTTTACTGGGTAACCACATAATTAATTGCAATTAAAATCTATGTTGCGATATAATAGATAATTTAATTTAGCAGTAGTTTAAGGATTCTTGCATTACTAATGTACATCAGTATCACAGCTGATCTGATATCAGTTATATATCTGAAGTAGAATTCTGTAATGTTATTTTCTGCTTAAAACTTAATACTGAGAATATTAATTACAATACTAAATTAAATTTAAATTCAAAGTAAGTGATAATTATAGTATAGGCCATCGAAATGCAGGTGTATCAGTTATGAAGTGCGCGTTTGTCGGTATTTAACTAATATGCGCATCTTCTGTGTAATAAATTCGATACTACTTATGCAGCGATCATTTAGGCAAAAGAGTTTTGCATTACAAACTCATGACAGTAGTGTTATGTCCGGTAAGTTGCTTAAACAGACTAAGCGATAATGTGAAAAGAAATCTGTATAAAGAAACAATAAGTTGATCGAAAATCGTTCTGGATAAACAGAATCTCTTGGAAACTTAGTTACAGTCACGTATAACATATTGTTAGGCGAGGATAAATATACTATCCATTTAGGATATGTAATTTTCTTTTACAAACCGTTATACCGTATAAACTTATTGAAATTCTTTACGTCTATTTCAAAATGTTTACATTATATTGAAAATTGCAAACAATACTCGTATTTGTAAAGATAGGTATTAAATTATTAAATTTATGAAATTAGAAAATAATGGTATTTCGTTCTGAAATAGATAAATTTATATTAAATCAATCTGTAAATATTATTGAAAAAGCAATTAACTATAACAATGTCAAATTAGTCGATTGCTACTTTTCGTTCGATTTAACATTTTTATTGACTTTTAAATAATATAAATTGTAATGTTACTGTCGTATAGATACTTATAACGCTATTATGTATGCATGATGACAATAATTTTACTTATATTTCTTTAATTTATTTCCGTAAATTAATTTGATTAATGCTACTAATAAATGATGTAATTAATTAATTAATGCATAAAGAAGTAATTTTGCATTGAAAAGGAATTTTAGTAGTTATTAGTCAAATCAATCTGAAAATTTGGGGATTATACGCTAACAAAGCTCTAGAAAGTCATAATAGTAAGTTTTCTGCGATAACTTTTAGTATCTCGTAGCGCTGTCGTAGCAATATACGTATAAGCTTAGCCCGCCAGTAAAATAATACATCTTATTATTACACGGTAGATAAAATAGCATCTTTGATCTAGTTCAAAAACTTAAATAGCATATTTTCTAGATTTATATTGCACACTCGCAATTTGCCAAGTTATAAACTCCTTCAGGTAGCTAAGTCTAAAAGTTTATTTGCAGTAAATTTAGCAGCTTAGCTAGTACTGCGTGTTACTGTCTCATTGATAGTTAATAATTTTAACTGTTTTATGTAATATGAGAAAGGCACTGAGAAGGAAGAAAAGCATATCAGTTGTTTTACGGTATTAAATAGACATATGCTGACTGCATTAGAAACATTGATCCGTAAATTTCAGTCTAGTAGTAATGATTGCATTTACTGCAATGAAAATCTAATCGATAAATAAATAGACATAGTCAGTTGTACAAATATAAGCATATCAGCATTTTGTGCCTTGCAAATATGCAAGTGTTACACGCTATTAACTCGTGTCTCATCATCATCAACTTTCAATAGCTTCGTTTTAAACTGTATTGCACTACGACATACTAAGGATATTTATATTAAAAGATGGCTTTGAATGCAACCATGGTAGCAGCGCAAGTGAATTATCCTACGAAAGATCCTAGTTTGGTCCCAGGCGTTGTTATATCTTATGCTATTCTTGGTGTACTAATAGTATTAACTAATAGTTCTATACTACTAATCATGCTTCTACGGAAACAATCGCTTGTGCCTCAAAATTATTTGATGATTAGCCTATTTATTGACGATATCCTATTTGCTTGTCTTTACATTTTCCCGCGATTTTTAAATCCTTTTTGGATTAGAGATATCCAGTACTGCGCTATACTGCCAGCTCTTGGTCAGATGATTATCGTAAATACTAATCTGCACTTATGTTGGATTAGTGTAGAAAAATACATAGCAATTGGATACCCAAGATGGCATAAATTACACGTTAGGAGAGCTTTTACATTACCTGCAATCATTCTTACTTGGTTTATATCTCTTTTATTCGTCTGTTATCCGTACTTCGATTTTCGAGATTTGGGTCCTATTAGCTGTTTTTTGGGAGGGCCTCGAGATAAAGAGTTTCGTTTTGAGCTTGTACTTTATTCTTTCTTGTTCTTTATTCCACTTATTGCAATGTCTATAACATATACCAGAATATTTATAGTTGCTAAAAGGCTTTCCAGTAAATCTTTTCAGAAGCATCGATATTCTGGATTGGCAGAAAATGGACGTTGTGAAGACTTATCGATTAACCAAGTTTATACGAAGCAACGTGTGAAACATCATTATAAAACTGCTAAAGTTCTTGGTGCTATGGTTAGTGTCTTCTTTATTGGTTGGTTTCCATTCGTATCAATTTCTATCGTACTTCGATCGATGGATTACCAAGTTATTCCTCAAAATCTTTATACAGTAGTCGGAATTATTCGCTATATAGCATTTTCAACTTTAATTATTAATCCTATTTTATACGGGTACTTTATTGCCGAAGTAAGGCAGACAATTGCTAGAGCTACGAAATGTACCCATAGATCTACTGGTGCGCTTCAAGCTCCACGAATTGAACCTCTTACAGTAGCTTTCAGAAATGCTATAAATGTTAAAAATGCTTAATTAAATATAAATATTGAAGTACTGCTTCTAAGATATTGTAACATTTATTTTAGTAGAACTATGATTATATCAATTTAGTGTAATGTGTTAGAACATTATTTCATTTTTGATCTACTGTACTGCTAAATTGTGAGAAAAGTGTAATACCCGTATAACCTTAATCATAGAGTTTGCCGATATGCTTCTATGAACTGCTACAAAAGCCTTCATTCGTGTTTAATTTACTGATTAACTAATATGCAAGCATGCAATTATGCGTATTTAGATATCTGTAGAATTCCGGACAGTGTTACAATTTTTCCCCATTTATCGATCATTTTTCTACAATTGCGGGTTATAAATTAGATAATGATCAACATCTCCTCAAATCGGCATTCGCATTATTGACTGTGTATAAACGTAGCATATAAAATTGATCCTTGAATGATATACCGTAATCATGATATAATACGCCAGAAATTGCGTAGTTAACTGAAATTGAATACTAATAAATTATAGCGCTTTTAATTGCTTAAAAATTCTAACAGCTGTACAAATTTTAAAGCCATAAGACCCTAATAGGTTTAAATATTTCTATATAGTCAATAACTTGTAAATTTTCAATTTGTGAGAATAGGATGATGGTGGTATCCGTACTATGTTACGTTGTTACTTACATTTATATAGAAACAACATCTTGTAATACTATCAAGATTTGATTATTTTCAACGTTATGATTAACAAGATTTTAACCTGAATATAACTGTATACGTGTTCAATACCAATTTCAATACCAATTTACTTTCATGCAATAATATTGCACTATACTGTACAGTATTATGCGTACACGGATCAATCATTTATGATTTAAGTAGATCTTGCTATACCATGCGCACTCGATTATATCAATTATCTCGGGCAATGTACTCGTAAAAACCAAAATATTGTATGAGCCTGCCACGCCACGTCCCGCTGAAGCCTTCGTTTATATCTCTCTTCTACAAAATATTACGCTACTACGAGTATAGGAACAATTTTCTTAGTATTATCTCCTAGCGAACTACTCGTAGCTCTAAGTTAAGTCTTCCATAATACTTAAAAGTGATAAAAATGCTGATGTTTTACCTAGTGAGAGTCTAGTACTCGTGCTTCAATTTTATTTTCACCTGATTCTTTTTTAAAGGATGTTCTACATTTTACAGTCATATAGAACAATAAAGTATAACTAATGGCCCTAACATTACAATTCACTATTTGATGTTCTAATAGTGATCCTGAAAAATGAAACGATGTAGAAGATTGCAGTGATGCACCCATATTTGATTCTACGGATAGCTATATTTGATATAGTCGGGTTATTTTGAATAGATACTAGTGCAAACTCCCGTCGCTTTGCTGACGGTTTACGATAATGTGCTCATTTAACAGATAGTATTACCATTTGTCATAGACCTGTAATTGACTAATTATGATACAAGATTTATGTAGCTAGAAACACTATAGTTGTTAACGTTAATAGTAGTAGTGACATCTTAAGTAGAATGATTTAGATTGTAGAAAAGAAAGATGTACTATTAGAGAAAAGTATTTTGTTTGATGACTCATATCTGACAGTAGATTAATCAAGTTGTCATCAATAGATCCAACGAAATGTTTCTAAGACCTGCAGAGATGGGCGCATGGAAGAGAAGAGACTTCACTTCGCTTTGAGCTCAGAATACTTTCGATTGTAGACTACATTCTTGTAGTAATTCACTATTGCTCTACTATTCCTCAAACCTTGTAATAAAAGCCTTTTCGAAAATACCATTTGACTATGATAGTTATTGTGAGACGCATTTATTACAAAGATATATTCTTTTTTCTTGTAATTGAAGCCAATTTTGAGTACAATCAATTGTATCGGGCTTTATGCCATTCATTTTGATCAATAGGAGTAAAGTGGATCAAGTTTATTTTTTTCAATAAGACCGATCAGCCCATATATTACTTTAGGATACGACGTCTATCATTTAGCCCCATGACCATTACAGAAATGGGAAGATACGCAAGTTAGACGGCGATTATATGGTATTAGGCAATAAATGTAGTCAAGGCGGATATACTCGTATTGTTGAATCTAATGATCAACTCTTGTATTATGAGCTATACAGTATCAAGGCTCAGTTACATTGAATATTTCTCGTTCTTTCATTCTACTAGTAATGCGATATGTTGTTATCGGCATTATTTCATCTAGTTTTATCTTCAATTGTATAGTTTATCGCCAGTCATGATCGAGACCGTCAGTATCATTCCTTGAAATGATTACTCGTAAAATGATCACCATTACAAATGATATGTTTTACAATAGTGGGGTTATCTGTGCAATCGAATACTGTTGCTGAGGTAGGTAACTAAACAGTGATTGTAAATTACCGGATCTGAGATCTGCAGCAATATCGGAATTGCGTACTATGCATAAATCTTCCAAGAATAATAATGACCGGGAATGGCTGTAATATTTCGATGCACAGCTATCTACATATATCCATTACAAGACATAAGTATTTTAATTCTCTTTGTCTCAGTTTCATTGATACTCCAACTTCAGTAACCGATACGAGAACAACTAGAATACATTATGCCTACTGTCCATTTTGACCTCGATACATCAATGCAGACTTGGGAAGTTAGTCTTATTGACTAAATTATCATCATTGTGATGTTTTAGATCAATGGCCATTTAGCCTTCTGCGTAAGATATGCACACCAGTAATATCTTTTTACTGCTACATTATAAGAATGATGAATAAACTTTGTGATTCTTTCCACTTGGGTAGAGACTGGAGATTAGGTCGACAACTCGAGATATGCGCACACATACGAGTATCCGAGTACTGTAGAAAAAATCAGGAGGGTGCCATGGTCAAGGTTTGCTATGAAGTTCCCGATATTGGAAAAATGTGCATAGAAACATAGCTTGAAACACCAACTGCGCTCTTTTTATGAATAGAACTGCTGATAGTAATTCATAGCACTGTACCATTATTGTTTGAACTTCAAAAGCTCACCGTAACCCCTTGGTTATGTTGAACTGTAAAGTAGATTTCAAGAAAGTGCGAAAGTCCTGCTGTCATGATGGAGTAGTCTAGTCCACCATACTATCCTGAGTCAGCATGACTCGCCTACTTCACCTTGATGCAGAATAGTTCAATGATGGACTATGGTACTACCCATACTGTACGTACAGTCTACTACTGTCCATTGTAAAACTAAAATTGAATAGTAACGTCGTATACAGTAGGCAATTCGACCTCTAGCAGCCCAACTACCATCGATTATTATCAGCCACGGACAATACTTGCGTATCATAATAATAGTGATCCTATTAGGAATATTGGACACATTCACGGACTGTATGGTCGTATTGATGTTGATTGACTTATTTATGTTTTATTTTTTATTATGGACGAATTACGAGCTTGGATAGAGAATTGGAGTGTCGAAATGTCACAAAACAGCCTTGCAACAAGATAACATAATGTACGATCAATTAGTCAATTCCTTGAATCACGTATCAAGTAACGATATCTGCACTATCAGAAACACTTTTGCTGTACTAGCAGACTACACAAAGACTTAAACGCCTCGTATTTTACGTTGAGCACTAAGTTTGAGAATCCACTTTATTACACGATATACTGCATTTATATACTATTCCTCAATAGTTCATGAGTCATAGTTAGTACGATTAACTTTGGAATCATGTACTGAATTAGATATTAATTATAGCTACTGCTCCCTTAATTAATGCAGATAACGGTATTTACCAACATAGACATCTGATGACTAATACAGAATAGTCAGATTACGATATGTCCTATCACGGAACATTTCCACCATAATTTACAATCTACCATAAGTAGATGATTTGCATTCCCTATTATAACTATTAATTCAGTATGTGTATATGTGTCCCTGTCATAAAAAGTCAGTGCTATATTAAAACACAGTATTGTATATCCAAATTAGAAGTTAACTAAATAAGGATAGGCTAACAGAATTATCCTAACATAGATATTTCTCTCTAATACAGTATATGACACTGTCACACGAAAGTGATGTATGACCAACTTAATTTGGATCCAATCTGTTGCAAATTCCCTGTCAAATGTACCGTCGATCAAGCATGGCCGACAGACATGACTGCTGATCATTCGTGTGTCGTCATTGCTGACGGTAGTAGCGTGTCCATAGTACAGTACTATTAATAACCCTTAATATATAATCTTGAAGTGTGCAAGTAATGTCTCAGGGACTACTAAAAGCTAGCGTAGTCCAGTCTTTGTCCATCAGATTTTATGTTTGTTGTGTCTGAATTCTCCTGTCAGTCAGAGTGTAGAGGAAGAAGCAAATTTAAAGGACATGGTGTACAATCAGGACTTTTGAAAGGATAGAAACAGCCATGGTGTAGAGTGTGGATCATCGTTCTGCTTTATTTGTATGGGTACGGTTACTATGGTACTAAGGTACACTCACTCACTGGTTCAGTAGCATGGACTACTATACACTGTATACAGTACTAGAAAAAGACCAGTCTTCTAGTAGACCCTGTCCGCTACAGTGTACAGTGTACCGCATACAACACATAGTACTGTAAGGGGTATACTGTACACTGTAGTGGACCGTACTGTACGGTATGAAACCTCCCCTAGATGCAGTACTGTACCATATTGTGTACAGCACAATATGGACTGTACTGTGGTAACACTGGAAACTCCAGCAACAGTACATAAACGATGGAAAAATTTTTTGAAAAAACGATACCAAACATTGCCAACGGGTGCGACGATTGGCCATTTTTAAACAGCCAGTAAAGGAAACGTCAAGACGATTAACGTAATTGGCATCAATATTAAGTTTATTCTTCATTATCTTCAAGCTACTTCTATTCGTTCGTTCTGATATTATTCCTAGTGCCGACAATAAATTACCGCTTGATAAGAGTAATCAACGTTACCCGAATAGAGTGGAAGTGGATCAGTGTACAAATAGTAAAATTGCCGTTGTAGTCATCACTTGGGACATCACCAAATACTGGACTACATCGGATTGGATTGGATGAGCCGAATTGACTATTTTACTCTACTTTTATCAACATCGCCGCCATTACCGACCGTATTGATGTATTAAAATGATAGTATGCGTAATGTAGCTGACAACACGGCTATCCGAAATGGCATATCAAGAAAAGGAAAGCCAAATCGCTGGTCTATACGATTTAAAACAAACCTTAGGGAAAGGGCATTTTTCAGTTGTTAAATTGGCCAAACACGCATTTACCGGCGAAGAAGTAGCGGTGAAAGTCATCGACAAGACGAAACTGGATGATGTATCCAAATCTCATCTTTATGAAGAAGTTCGCTGTATGCAATTGGTACAACACCCCAATATTGTACGTTTATATCATGTTATCGAAACTCAAACCAAACTATATTTAGTACTTGAACTAGGCAAAGGCGGAGATCTATACGATTATTTACTTAAACATGACAATGGTTTACCAGAAGATGAAGCTCGATATTATTTTCGACAGATTGTTCTCGGTATCGCTTATTGCCATCGTTTACATGTTGTTCATCGGGATTTAAAACCAGAAAATGTTGTATTTTTTGAAAATTTCTCTACTGTCAAGTTAACCGATTTTGGTTTCTCCAACCGTTTTATGCCTGGCCAAATGCTATCGACATCATGCGGTTCCTTAGCATATTCTGCCCCAGAAATTTTACTTGGTGATGCCTACGATGCTCCTAAAGTGGGTAAGATTCATTCCGTTGAATAATGACTAATTATCGTCGGTAATGTAGATTGTCTTAATTTCATTAAAAAAAAAAATGGATTCATTCAAAATCTTGTGTAAAGTGCTTAAGTTTTGAATTACTGATCATAATTACGTGATGTGACATCAAATTGAATGACATGAAATTTTTTCTTTCACCAGCATTCGTTTTCATATGTTGATCAATCTATCTTTATGTAGATATTTGGAGCCTTGGCGTTATTCTGTATATGTTAGCAACTGGTCAACCACCGTTTATGGAGGCTAATGATAGCGAAACGTTATCCATGATCATGGATTGTAAATATAATTTACCACCACAACTGTCATCATCTTGTAACGAGTAAGAACTTTACCGTATACCGTAATTAATAGCAGCGTTTTCATAAATATAAACTATCAATTGATGTACAGTACAATCAATATACAGTAAGATGTCAAAAAAGACTATACTTATAGTCAATAAATTAGCCTTTTCAAAAATGCAGTAACTTTCTGCTAAGTGATATCTGTTCATCATACAATGCTGGGCTGACATATGCTATTTGGGGTACTTTTCATCTTAACCTTTTTCAGATTAATATGTAATTTGTTGATTCGTGATCCCATGAAGAGATTTACTCTGCAACAAATCTGGGACCATCCTTGGATAAGGAATGGCCCGGAAGATTCATTACAAAAGCAATTATCTTCAACAACGCTGAGCAATAATACCCCTCACTTATCTCCAGAAGAGCATAACATCGTTGTACAAAAGATGATCAATGGGAGAATAGCAGATAAAGATGTCATTAATAGGTAATACCAATGATAAGTTAAAATTTAATTGCAATCGCTCGCCCAGTCAGTATCATAATATTTGGGTTGCCATCAACAATTTTTTTTGATGGATTGAAGAATAGTAGAATTATTTCCTGCACTTGGCATAGTACTGTAAAATGGACGATTCGTAAATAGTAAATCAGTTAGCAAATGCTACACTATGACATCATAGTAGTAATGTTTATCACTACCTATTGTATTACAACCATGATGAATTCGTTCACAATTATCATTGTTTTTTTTTATTCTGTAAGACAACTGGAAGCTAACAATTACAACCATATTACTGCGACATATTACCTTTTGGCGGAAAAAAGTTTAAGGAAGAAAAAATCTTCACCCAAAAAATCACATTCCAATCACCCCAAAATAAAAAAGATTTCCGCAACTATTGCTCCTAATCTGAAAGGAGACCATCTTCCAGTATCCAAAATGTATTCATCTATACCCGGGTAAAAATAATTCATAGACGTTATTACAATATACTTAACAATTGAATTGAATTACTTATTTCAAACGCTCTCGTCTTTCTGATCGCAATTATTGACATGAGTCTCTGTTGTCCTTTTTTTGATCAGCTATGGTAAGAAAGTAGAAGAGATTGAAGAAGATTCTGAAGAGGAGTCGTCCAATAAATTTCGATGTCGTACACGCTCCCTTGTTTTGAAAAAAAATCCAATGGAAGATGATCAGAATCTAGATATTAAAGACCAACCTACCAAAGACCGTAGTCTGTTAGATACTGTTGACGATAATTCCGTTAGAACTCTACAGCAAGAGCGTAATAGTATATCTCAATTGTTACCGTATAATGATGATAAGAATAAAAATATCAATACCAGAGGAGATAAGATACTATCAGTGAAAGCCCCTCTTTTGACAAACGTCGGAAAATTTAGTGTTCCCAAAGCATTGGATTTAATTGCTGAAGGGGAATCTGAAGATGATGAAATACGTAATCCTCCAATGTTGAAACATTCTCGATCGACCGGTAAAATGAAACGTAAAGTATTTCCTCATGAAGCTTTGCAAGATAGTGACAAAGTAGCTACAAGCTCTGATGAAGATGAACCGAAGCCTAAAGTTGGAGGTGTTCCCCATAGCAACTTACAAATCAGGCGAACCCATTCACAAGATGTAAACGATGTTAATAGAAATCGAATTTTTACAAATACGGCTACAAGACAATTAGTGAAACAGAGAAAAAAAGGATACGTTGTGGGGAAGTTACCGTTAAAGACGATCGAATCTTGCAGCAGTGCAGATGTTTCTGATGACGCTGGTAGTGGTGATGATCGAGGTATTTTTATTCCAGATATTAAAAAAGGTAAATTACCAACTATACCCGGAGTCCCTGAAGATAGTTCAACTAATAACCAATTAGCAATAAAAAGTGACAATGTCACACATAAGAAACTACCAGAAGAAGAGATAGATCAAACTGCCCAAGATGTAATTCACCCTAAAACAAATATCTCAGTGCAAACTAACACAATAGATCAATCAGCTGATATAGTTTCAAGTGCTGAAAGTATTAATTCGCTTGCATCTGGTAATAAGAATGCTGTAAAAGAAAAAAGTGCCGCTTTCTTAACTCCTGAAGCTAATCTTAAGGAAACTACTATAAGACGTAACTCAAACTCTAGTATTTGTGTCATCAATTAAATAGGTCTGGTCTGCTTTTCCTGAATTAAATATCTATAATCCATAAACTAAAAAGTTTTACGATGTTATAATCGTATCTATCTGTATTATTTGTTATGATTTTAATTTATACACACTGGAGTCCTATCGCTAAAAGTTGTACAGACAAAAATAGTGTCTTGTACAGTTGAATGTAAGTATATGACCCAGTTGAAACATTCATATCTACCCCTACCAGTCCTACTGTATATTTAAGGGTTTTCATACGTTACATAATTCCTACTATTGTTATTGACAAAATCGTTAGGAAGTACTGTATATATACTGGAAACGGAAAAGAAGGATAAAGAATTTTAGTAAAGTATAAATATGTATGCGCATATATATAATGTGATTTGGAATCTACTTCCCTAAATTAATAATAACAAATGACCAAAATCGATGGATATTGTATTCATTATATATATATATTTAAAATTTTACCATTACCGTAATATTTTTGTAAATTAACTTGATAACGGGTAGTTGCAACGATGTAATTAACAAAAAGCTTGCAGTATGTAAGCGGCGTTTTACATATTAATTAAGCAATTCGAACGATGCAGCACATAATCCACTGTTTCGTACAATTTATAACATATGTCGATACTTTGTTACAGAAATTTTGCTATCGTTATGAATTGTAATATCTTATTCGATACCTTCACTGATTTCAAATGTAAAAGTTAAGCCTAAATAATAAATTGTTTATTAACAACGTTTTTGTACACGGATTCTGAGCGAAGTATTTCAAACTTCGATAATCCAATAAAATTTTTCTGCTATTAGATAAACCTCTATTTGTATAGCACTTTTAAGTTAAAGCCTCAATATTCAATAAAGAATCTTGAATACCACAATAAAAGTGACGATGAAAGTAAATAGTCAAGAATAGATCGTTACTTGCGGCTAAGTAAGCTCTAGCACTGACTGAATACAGATTGATAATTTAGATGCGAATGCCGACCTTGCAAGAATTTACACAACGTTACATAGTACAATACTAAATATTGTGCAGTCTTAGTCATCAAGCTTTATAGGTAGTAGGATAGCTCAACTTGCCCACAATCAATAAATGTACTATATATAGCAGCATAATTTGCAGATTAAAAATTTCTTGATAATCATTAAACTTTTAAATTATAAACGTTTACTTTAGGAAGTATTTTCTTTATTGTCGTTGTTAACTGCGTACCTGGACCAAATTCGTACCAATGATCACATTTAAATTTATCATATATTGATTTTATGCTCTGCTCCCACAAAACGGGCTTCGTAACTTGTTCTTGTAGTAAACTTATAATTTCAGATACTGATCGATACTCACCTGCAGTCACATTTGAATAGACCTACCATAAGACGAAATGACATTAGCTCACGGGTTAGTTTATTGACGATGGGATAATAAAGTCTATGCAAACGTTAAATTAGATCAGCAATTGCCACTAACATCGTATATAGGCATAGTAATCTCGACATTTTGCAGGGCTTCCTTAAGACTAGACTGAACCTCTGACATAGCGGGCGTATGAAAAGCACCACTGACCGGCAGCTGCCTTACCCTCTTGAAGCCAAGTTGGCGATAGTTATCTTTAATATGATGCAGTCCTCGGATGTCGCCAGCTAATACACAACAATCTGCAACAATTGTAAACCAATTATTTATTCAAGTTTGTACTTTGGTACGCTAGTCATCTATGTTTCGTTTAAATTATTAAAGCGTTTTCTTTTCGTCTGATTGCTAGTAATTCGAATGCTTATGCGACAAAACAATTATAATTGCAACATCTGTAGCTTTGGCTTACTATGAAATAATACATTGGCTACTTGCAAAATCCCGTCATCGCCCAAAATTTCCGAAGCAACTTTGTTACAAATTTGCTGATTCTGTTCTAAATCCAATCCTAAAGTTGTTAGCATGCCTGTCTTTCTACGATCTGACGCTCTTTGCATGCTCTCCGATCTATATTTTACGATCCTTATTGCTGTAATAGATTATAATATTAAGGTTATTCATTGATAATTAGAGAGAGAGAGGTGTTCTAAGTGTGATTGATTAGTGCTTGTAAGAAACGTTCTTGGTGGCACAAATGCAAGCAAAAATATGTATACCCTACCATCTTCGAAAGATATTGCTCCAGCAACAACTAAAGCTGAAAATTCACCGACACTAAATCCAGCAGCTGCATTGCATCCTTCAAGTAGCTATGTAATAAGAACATACAGACTTCATGAATAACGTACACTACCACGAATGGAACATATTACAATAATATTACAACGACTACGTGTATGTACGCGTATTGATTAAGCAACGACTATTAATCCTGACTATAGCTACTGGAATGAAATTAATAGCAACTTCTAGAATTTACAGTAACTAAGAATATTCTAAATTAACTCATGATGTCCCTTACTTTCCTACTTACTAAACTGATTAAAAATGCTTCAGTATGTGAAATAATATCACCTACAATAAGTTGTCAACATACTTCAGGTCTATCCTGACGTAGAACTTCGTAGGCAGCCAAAGAAGCAACAACAACCGCTGGCTGGCAATAAATTGTACTGTCTAACATTGTTTTTGGGCCTTGGCTAGATAATTTCATAAGATCATAACCTAATACTTCTGATGCACGACGATATAAATCCTTGACAACATTTCTATGGCCTATATCGGTTGCCATACCCACAAACTGGCTACCTTGACCAGGAAACAAGACAGCCACGCCATTTCCATCCTTAACTTGCTTCAGGCAGCTAGTGCAAAACCCAATTGAGTTATTAAAATACACAGATCGTTGAAGTCGAGCTCTCCAAAGGAAACTACCGATTGAAATTTTCCTCATCATCATCGAAATATTGGAATGGAGTAAGTGTACTGTTATCTTCGCTCGCTTTCTCCCTACTTTGCTCTTCCTCTTGGCGTCTGGAGATGAGGAGCTGATCTGGCGTAAGTCAGACTTGTACTTGGACACTGCTCTATAGTGTATGATCATAGACTTGCATGGTATTAGTTTGTGCTCTATACTGAATCAAGTATAGTTATACAGTAATACAGTAACTGTATGTGTTGTCAAAATGTTACTACAATATTCATATGCAAACTGGCTGAAATTTTAAAAAATTTACAGTTCATCTAAATTTTCTATTTCTGTATTTGGCCGACTATAAAAGCAATCATTATTGACTGTCACGAAATTATTATGCTGTATAATTAACGGTGCTTATGTACGTGTAAATGTCCCTGAAATACACTGTACAGTGGAGTGAGTGTCGACTACTGTATACCAAGTGTTTGTGTAGTCAAGCAGGGACTAATTTTAGTCCTAGAAGTAGCTATCCCAGGAGCTAGCAAAAAGATGGCAGAACTTTTTTTTAGCACCCTTGATCATAGGCAAGGACTACTAAAGAAAAGACCCTCTCTTATTTCTCCAGTAATTCTTGCTCATAGTATATCTATCTGTATAGTGTACCAAGGGCCACTAGAATGAGCCTTTGCTTCCAGTCGTCCTTGATTGTCCACATATGATAAAGGACAATCTTGGAATTCTGTGGAAGTAAATCCTCACTAAACTCGATCATAGCTCTATTATCCTCCTCAAATAAAATTCTATATTGTACAATCTGTATACTCTCTATCCTGTAATAATATAGTATAGCTCATATGATTTAGCCTAGTGGCTAATACTACTAAAATTTCGGTACTGTAGATGTATTTATGAGCTTGATGTGAAATGCTTTGCATAATGCTAGCACAAAATAGAGGTTATACATTTCAAGCTTGGAAAAATTCAATTTATAGAACATTTAAAGATTACATTATGTCATCTCACTTTAGTATAGCATTATTCACGTGCCATAGAGATACAGATATGAGTTGTATATCCATGATTTTATTTAACGGTAGCCAAGATATGTACACTGTTTGAGCAAAATTGAATACTTGATGATAAATTGTTTATAGTTGTGCAACAGTACCTCAGCATTGATATCATTTGCATGTAGCAAGCAGTAAGTAAGCATCTAGGGCCTTGATATCAACGATTTTACATGATGCTATGTATAATACATATGCATTTTTTGTTGGATAAAATTGAATTCATTTAATATTTCATAATTCTACAGTATTCATTGGCATAGTTTAGCCTTGTTTTATTTCTATTGTACAGCATTGAAGTAGTTGAAGGTGCTAGCCCCTACATATCAAAACTCTATAGCAGATAGCAGACTATACCTATTTGTAGATGCAATGCATCTTAGATACAGTAAACTCAATTTGAACGACTTTACGAGGATGATCCTATTCCCAACTATGATATATACACTTGCATTGGGTAAAAATTGAACTTATTGAATGTTTGATGGTCATGTTATGTTGTGCTATTTTAGCATTAATGTATTTGTATACATATATGCTCTATATCATCGGCTCTTACATGATCCTGACCAAGATACAGGATACACTTCTACAGTTCTGCAAGTAAAACTCAATTTATTCGATATTTAACAAAGTGCTACTTTAGTACTGGATTATTTGCATACAGTACTTGTACTGTATATAGGCATATCAAGAAGTAGCTTAGTGATAAATTATTAGACTTTCCAATTAAGATCGGCTACGATTGTTATTGTTTACGATCCTCGCGATGGAAATAAGTAAATAAGAAAATTTGCTAGTTTTCTAAATGTAAGTCCTGAATCTGGAGATGTACAACATTGTATCCTATCTATTACTCAGTATAAACTCTAAATAAACGTTATTACTCAAATCCTTACTCGGACAAGATGCTTCGTTTACAAGGCATTCCAATTTAAATGAACATTTAATGATTATTGTTATGTTCTAGTCGTTTAGGGTTTAGATTCTTTCTCGACGGCATGCATGCACGTATAAGCTGGATATGAACAGCATTTACTGTACATGACTACCAACCAAGATATGCTGTGTCATTTAACTTAGTAAGCATTTTATTTCATGATTGTATTATTACGTTCTTCTACCTTCGTCTTGTAGTATCTGTCTACAGTACAGGTCTATCCATATTCACGTAGAGACTCTACGATATCAAGGGCAAAATACTTTTACTGTATATCGTAATTTAACTTATTGAACATTTTAATGGCTATGATTAGCCTGTTGTAGTAAGGTCGACGTATAAGCTCGATATCAATGGCTTTGCATGATACCAGCCAATTCTCAATGCTGTAAATGCTCTATTTTACGAGTAGATAGAACTCATTTTAAGCGTACAATAAATATTAGGAAGACTGCCGGCAACACGGCGGGTTCTTTTCGTATTCTCTCTCGTATGCTGTCATTTAAGTTACTGAATTCTTCAATGGCTACTGTACTTGCTTAACTTGTACACCATGCCGTACAAGAGGGACTTTGTTGAATTATATTGTCTAATAGTGAATATTATACAGTTGTTGTAGTTTGATATTTCTCCTATACCATAAAATGGAACTTATTTAAGTTAATATTTTAATGACTATTATTACGTTATTCTACTTTAGTATTTCTCGTATGCAATTGTAGTCTTACTATATTTAACATTTTAATGACTATTACTACGTTGTTGTCCGTGAATATTATGTTATTTATTTCTCTACAGTAGCAGTTTACACGTCGATCTATGCATATAGAAGCTCGATATCAATCGCTTTACATGATGCCATCCAAACTAGGTCTAGCCAAACTGAATTGAAGCAACACATGATGATGATGATTAGGCATGTAGGCTAGCCGACTGCAATATTGTAGGATGACGATGCATTAAAATCGTTCATGATGCAATCTTCAACAGCACTAGGAATGAAGAAAAGCAAACCAATCGATCACGGGATTTGGCTCTTTTTTGTTGTTTCTTGTCTTGAATATTACATAATTCTTGAACTGCAATCTTCCATGGCTGCATTGCCTCTCTAGCAATGTCCATTGGACACTCGTGAACGATTATTTACATTAGTAATTATCCATATGGATAGTTTTCATACTTGTACTCTGTAGGACATGGTCTACAACCGGTGGAGTTTAGCTAATCAAGTGTCCGCCTTGCCAACGTCCTTTCCGAGTTGGAGCCCACTGTCAACGTACTGGTACAAGACTAATTTGGTCAAGACTTTGTACTAGATCGAGGGTCATTCCAAGACGACTTAGTGTAGGAGTCAGTGGCACTTCGTTTAGCCAATTTTCAAAGGAATGAAGAAAATGTCGTTTAAATCAACATTGCTTGATTAAAATTTATGTTACTCCTAGAGCTCATCCATCTTCAATACGTTATCCACTGGAATCGTGAGAAAAGGAACAAATGAAGGGATAAATCTACAAGACAACATTAACGATGGTTCGATACGACGAAGATTTATTTGATAATCCATTCTATAAAGCCATTGCTGGCAAGCCGGAGTTGTTGATCAAAGCAGTAGCACAAGATTGGATCGTAAGTTTACAACTTTAAATCGTTTCTCCTTCAATTTCTTACCTGTTAATGACTTATTCAAATGCTAAGCTGTAATAATAAATGGATTATGCCATCTATATAGCGACAATATGCATGATTTCTAGTTACGATACAAGTTGTCTATCTAGACTGACATATTTCAACAGCAATAGGACATTGAAAATGAACAACAACATGAGTCAATTTCATTGGATTATTGATTTATTTTACATGCTACTAAACTAGTCCAGCCTAAAGCGTTGATGTTATTCAATAGAATGATGATGGCATTTCTCTCCTACATGAGATATGTAGGAGATTTAAATGGCTATCTTTCAATAGTTATTTCATGCAATAGCGTAAAGCTAAATTGACCATGTTATTTCAACTTATTTTTTCCCTTCGTAGTAGAATTGCATCGAGGCAATCAAATCTTGTAATTATATTTACTAGTAGTGTTATCTTGGAGTTTACATCCATACTTGAAAAATGATAACCAAAATGGCCCGTGAAAATATATCACATTTTTGGCACTGAACAGTAACTTACAATCTGCTACTTTATGGTTTTCACACCATTAGATTAGTGATCTAAAAAGTCATGAAGGATACAACTGTAGTTGAGTGTGGACAGTACAGTATATGTCGATAAACAGTCAGAGATGACCTAACAGAAACTGCTTTGACCCTGCTCAGTAATTTGCATCTGTAAGGCCATCAAGTTAACTTATAAATTCCTTGACTTGATCCTGTAGAAGAATTTATCCACCTACTTGTTAGTAGGATTAATTGCTATTTCTAGATTGAACCAATAAAATGACGAAATGATCTGACAGAGAATTCCGGTCTTCAATTTCTCATTTGTTTTTAAACGTGCAGTAGACGCATAGACCGTTACTTGTAAGAACGATTGTTGCTAATAATTCATTTTTTTTTACTTTAATCTTTAAAATAGTAAAAGGGGCTAAATTACCGAAAAAGAGTCATATTCTTGGGGATAAATTTCTCACTAGTTATATACTAGTACTCATAAGGTCTTTTATGGCCAAGAACTACGGTAACTCTTTGACTTTTCAGACAGCATTAGCGGCAAACTTAGCTGACAATGATAGTCTTGTAAATCAATTTTTTACTGTGTACAGTTGAACAGTAAGGACTCTTATTGCAATCAACTTTTGCAACTTCTTACTTTGGTCTTTCAAACAGTCAAAGCAAAAAATTAGCAGACAATTCCTGTCTTACTGATGAATTCCTTGTTTATCGTATACCATGACTCGC